TGGACAATATCTGATGATCGACTCTTTTAAATGAAACCAGAGAGCGTTGACAGAGAGGAGAAGGTAGAAATGACTCAGCCTGGAACTGAAAATACCCAGAATGCTTTGCGTGTAAATAAAATGGCCCGTCTGTGTAATATATTTTACAGTTAAAACATGTTTATCAAATAAAGTCTAATGTTACAACTAATCAGGGATCCTTTAAAAGTCTGTCAACATGTTTCTGCCGGGTGAGTCGGGACTTTTCGAAGTAATTAGCCAATGATAACAATGCTAATGCTAACAACAAGCTAGCCTGTTATTTCTATGTGCTTGGATCTACTTGTAAATAATTTATTTAGCTTCTGTAAACCATCAGATATTAAAGCAGTTCTGCTCTAACTGCAGCTGGAGGCTGTTTGAAATCAGCCRATGAGAGAAAAGTTTCTTCTTTCTGGACTTTTTGTGGCTGCAGRATGACGTCAGTCCAGCCTGATCACAGAAATTATCTGTGATTTAAAGGGAAACAAGCTTAAATCTGGTTATTTAACAGTTCGACTGAACCACAGTTTAATTTTCCACAGAAACACAGTTCGACTGGTTTTATGGTTTCAAACTGCTGCTTGGTTAAGCGTTTGTTCTGCCTTTACTCAGCATGACTGKAAACAGATTGATCTGCTTGGTTTGAACCGTTAAACTGATTAAAATTTAATTCTCTGAAAATGTTACCAAATTATTTCACCTCCATCATCTCACTGAAAGAAAAACTTTTTATAATTTAAATAAAAAAGGGTCACCAGAAACTTGTAGACGTCAACCAGAAACGATAAAAAATAAAACCCAGCTCACCTGCCAGAGCTCCGGACCGGTCCAGACTGCGTCTCTTCAGCGCTCGGGCCGACATCATGAGAGGAACCAAGATGGAGAAGAGCCACCGCCACGGCGACACCGGCTGCAGGTTCCCTGCAAATGTCCAGACCTGAGGTTGAAACTGCAGCCATGATGTGTTTTAAATGTCTTCCTCCGGCAGCAGCTCACCAGAGACGGCGCTCAGGGTGAGCGAGACGATCCAGAAGAAGAGCGAGAGCGCCAGAGTGACGCACAGGACGATCATATCAGTCATCATCTTCACGTACTCCTTCATCAGGACCACGCTCTCAGAATCCACGGTGACGGACGGACCGAGCTGCAGGACAGGACAGGAGGACAGCATCGGGTCAAACCTTCATTCTGATCACAAACACTAAAACTTGGCTGAGAAGTTTCTGAAGATGTAAAGAAAGATTTTAAACAAAAATACTCAAAATTGTTCTTCATATTGTACAAAAAATATAAAACAAACTCCAGCTGTAACCAGATCAAACACATCTCTAAATCTAATTTTCTCTCATCAGCACCAAAAACTAAACTCGCTGCATTTTTTAAATCAATCTTCCAGGGATTTAGTTTGTTAGAAAATATTAATTTATCTACAATAATATCAGCTTTGTTTTATTACAAGAAATCAAAATATACAAACTTCTGAAAACACTTATGTGGTAGTTTTATACCTTTAATTTGCTTCTGCAACATTAAGTAAAACACTAAAGCTGTTTATTCTTATGACATTTTARTTAAACACAGGAATTAAAGGCGTTGAAAGCCTTGATTAGCATGTTGATACAAAATAAACAGCTAAAGCTTCTTGAAGGTTTGTGACGCGAAAGGAAACAAGTGATGAATTCACGTCAATTTAAGTGTTTCTCTGCGTTAAGACCTTTAAACTCACCAGAGGTTGTTTTCGGAGCCATGATCGTGATTTATTGTTACACAGCTTCCTCCGATGACAGCTAAATTTAACTTTATTTTTAATCGAGATAAAAACTATTTTCTGGCTTTTTATTAGATGATCGCAAAGGATGTTATTTATCAAGAAGGAACAAAGCGAATAAACCCAATAATTTATCGGCTGAAGCTACAGAAACACACGGCTCCAGCATAAAGCGGAAAAAGGCGGCGGACGAATTTTATTGACGGACCAGTTTCCGCTTCGTTCTTAAAGCGACAGGATTACGGTAAACTAGCGCAAAAAAAAAAAATTCTGAAAAAAATTAATATGTATACATTTCAAGCTTTTAACTAGCCAAAGGTCAACATATTATTAATAAAATATATAATAGTTTAAGAAAGAGATAAATTCAGTTTAAGCATAGCGTATTTAAAATAAGCTAATTAGCATATTTAATTTTTTAGGCTAATATTTGTTAACGGTAATTCTCACATAATAAGTCTAATCCTTTTTTAAAAAGTATATGCAGCAATAAATTTGTACTGGTTTCCGTTAATTAAGTTGTTATCCAGCCTAGAATTTTAAGTTTTACACAGATTAAAATCCAATATATAAATTATTTTATCAGTAACTGTTTATATAATCTGTCTTCAAAGCTGCAATATAGTTGGACTTTAGTACAAACAATTTGTGCAAAATGTTTATAATAATGACAAATTGTATTTTAGAAAAATATGCATTTCATTTTTCTTTACAGTATTAACATAAGTAGCCCAGATCCAGTCTAAAATTATTGAACAAAAATCCTAAATAAACCATGTAACCAGAGTAACATCGTGTTGAAAGAGTATTTTAAACAAATGCAGTCATCCTCACCATTTTACTGTATAAAAGTTTTCGTGTGGTTTATATCCTTGCAGCTGAGCAGACGGCAGGAGAACACAAACAGCTCTGTCTGCAACCAAACTGTCCCCTCATATTTAAAACACACAGAAACTCCCTGATGCCTCCATCCTACATCAGCTGACTATAACTGAGTTGGTCAAAGTTACCCCACTCCCATGACGACCAGAGTTAAAGTTTAACAATCGCTCTGAAGTGCTGAGAAGGTGAGTTATTTTACTCTTAAATTATACACACACAAAGAGAAATGTTCCCAAATAAATGAGGTTTGCTTCTTAAAAATGTCTTTCATCTACTTTCTATTAAACATCTTACCTGTTGAAGATGCATCTTGTTGAACATCCTGAGTTTAAAGTTTAATTCTGACCAGGCTGATGAGCCGACAGCTGGTCTGAGACCACAGTGGACTGCCCTCTTTATCTTTAAAATCTATAAAATCTAGCTTTAAAATGTTTTTTAGTGATTCATGCAAAAGTGATAAACTTTTAAATTATATTACACTTCCTATTACACAATTATACCAAGAGAAACATTATTATACTCAAGCAGGAAGTGGTACAAGATAGATAGATAGATAGATAGATAGATAGATAGATAGATA